CCCCCCATTTATTTATGAAAAACAATGGATCTCTGATGCTTAACTTTTTCTTTGTAGTTCACTATGTGATAGTGGGACTGTCGAGATTATTGGACCGATAGCGTCGTCGGTGGAAGATATCATGCTAGTGTAAGTGATTCACATTGGGTGCCACCATATGTTGTGGCTCACTGGTCTAGTATACGCATCTTCATGCCATGGTTGACATTTTGATCACATTGCATTACTTACCAATTACAATAAAAGAGTTGAAAGAAATATATATTTATGGGGAAAAAATTCCTGGCGAGGAACCTAATCTCCACAAAAATAAAAGGGAATTTTGGAGAGGTGGGGATTGAAATAGGTTGTGAGATCCCACCTCGGTTGGGGAGGAGAACGAAACACCCCTTATAGGGGTGTAGGAACCTCTCCCTAGCAGATGAGTTTTAAAAACCTTGAGAGAAACCCCAAAAAAGACAATATCTGCTAGCGATGGGCCTGAGTCATTACATAGGTAACAGGGACGGAGATGTGGAAGGTTTCCTTGTCTTCACCCCGCCTTGTGGACATCTCTAAGAAGATTGTGCTCCTTCACCTCTCGGTAAAGCTGCTTCATTGATGTCGTTTACTGTCATGTCTTCGATTTGCTCGGGTGACATAATATGCATGCTTAAGTAGGGTCAGATAGAACCGTCAAAGGCGGGTCAGCCGAGTCTTTCCTGTTCTATTCCCTGCACCGTGTTGGTGGCTTATTGTCCTTTTTCCTATATTGAACCTTCAATGGCTATCTATGACATATTTACACTCACTGTCACCATTACTTTTTTTAATTGCCGGTGCTGCATGCTTCTAATCTTCACAATCATACATGAATCTTTTGATTTTGAACATATGCAGACATGTTGGTTGATTCAGAACACTGGTTACTGTCTTCCCTTTTATTTCTTATCAGGTATGCAGCAATTTTGGGCTCCACCCCTGAGGATAAAATCAGCTTGAAACCAGTAAGGTTATAGGCTAGTTGTTTTTATAGTTTTTAAGATGAGAACTGTCTTGTGAGATCCCACATCAGTATCGATTGGGGTGGAGAAAGAAACACCCTTTATAAGGGTGTGGAAACCTCTCCCTAGCAGACGCGTTTTAAAAACCTTGAGGGAAAGCTCGAAAGAGAAAGCCCAAAGAGGACAATATCTGCTAGCGGTGGGCTTGGACCGTTACATGTCTATTAAGACAAGATGATCTATTTTTCTTCCATATATAAATCTACAACTTAATCATCGTTATGCACATTTCTAGGCGCCGCCTTGCTTGCCAATTCTATCATCACATGATAATTTGAATATTTTGGGATCACTACGACTGGGAAAGTACTCACCGGTAACGTATTTTCTTGTGATCTAGTTGGTTATGTTCGATCGCTCTGTGCATGATGTTTTATGGAGCATTTCACTCTTCTCTTGCAGTGGTTTAATGACGTTTTCTCGACTGATATCTCCGAAAAGAGTGAGGACATTCTTGAATTGTTGATGAAAACTCATGGTTGCGAAGTAAGCCCATTCTTATTATTTTTTCGAGCTAATTCGTGTACTCGTTGGCTTACATATTTTGTATACTTTATATTGAAATGTGCAAGATTGTAGAAGTTGTTGTGCCTGAGCTGCTTGAAATGCGCACTGCTCATCTTGTTTCCATTGGGTCTGAATTTCTTGCTTCAATGAATCCTGATTGTGAAGATGGGTATGCTACTTTGGCGTCGGAAGTATCGAAATATTTTAGCTTTCATATGATGTGATATCGATTTTCTTCAGGAAAGGTAAAAGATTGACTTACGACAGTCGTACCAGTTCAGCACTATTTCGGTCGTTTACCGCATCAGATTATGTCGCTGCGCAGTGTCTTAGGTGAGCTAAACTAGGGACCAGAAAACTATTCACATCTTGAATTGTCATCCTCCACCCGAAAAGTTATATGCTATTTAAGCTGTTGTGTTGCTTTTTTGCTTATAGTTATATAACGTTGTTTTTAAAATCTTACTTTCAAACTCGCTTCCAAAGATCTCTCTACCCCTTTTTTGAAACCTTCTCCTCAAACGGGGCCAGGGGCTTGAGCATACGTTTCCCGGCCGTAGGCAATGTAAATAAATTAGCCTGACTCACTTGGTGTTGGGAGTGAGTGCCGCACAATTGTAAAGTCCGCTGCCAAGGAAAGTGCGATTGTGACAAGTGGTATCAAGTATCTTGTAGTGTTTAGCTTTCTTTATAATTATTTTACAACTATTGAAGCTTAACTCGTTCTTAGATATTTTGAATTATCCGTGTTCGGTTTCGTTATGATTCTCTATCCCGAAAAATGTGGATTATGAAGGTATATTTTGTTTTAGGCGGAGAATAATGCATCATCACATGGAAATATTCAAGAAGGTCGATGTAATCGTGACGCCTACAACTGGGTATGTTCTTCATTCTCCACTCCTGTTAATGAATTGAATCTGTGGAGTCTGCTTTAACCCACTTGATCATTTAGACTGATATCATCACTCATTAGATAGACAAATAAGTCGTTGATAGACAAAATGAAGGGTGGATACTCATCAACTAGGAAAAAGAACACACTTCTGTTGTTACCGTGATATCATGTCATGAAAACTATTGTAACCAATCCATTGAACAGTAGAATTAGTATATACTCAATTGAGCATTGAGCAAGCATACTGCATACCAAATAATATTGTCCTCTTTGGCCTTAACCTTTCGGGCTTTCTCTCAAGGTTTTTAAAACACGTCTACTAGAGAGAGGTTTCTACACCCTTATAACGAATGTTTTGTTCCCCTATCCAACCGAGGTGGGATCTCACAATCCACCCCCTTTGAGAGTCCAGCGAGACGCTGACACACAGCCCGGTGATTGGCTCTGATACCATTTGTAACAGTCCAAGCCCACCGCTAGTAGATATTGTCCTCTTTGGGTTTTCCCTTTTGAGCTTCCCCTCAAGGTTTTTAAAATGTGTCTACTATGGAGAGGATTCCACATCCTTATAAGGGATGCTTCATTCCCCTGTCAAACCGACGTGGGATCTCACAATCCACCCCTCTTGGGTGCTCGACATTCTCGCTAACACACCGCTCGGTGATTGGCTCTGATACCATTTGTAACAGCCCAAGCCCATCACTAGCATATATTATCCTCTTTGGGATTTTCCTTTCGAGCTTCCCCACAGGGTTTTTAAAACGCGTCTATTAGGGAGAGGTTTTCACACTCTTATAAAGAATGCTTCGTTCCCTTTTCTAACCGATGTGGATGCAACTACATACATCCCGGTTTATGAGGTGGATTTTACTGCAGGTTTTGATAAAGAATCTGCACTTGCTCTTTCAAATCAAAGCTTCATGTTCTTTGAAGTCTATATATCTATTGAAAGTTTTAATCAGACCATCTGCCGTTCATTAATTTATCTCCCTTAGCATGATATTGGTTGCCACTGTTGACTTTGCTTTTGAGTTATATTCGTTTTCTTTATCTAAATTATATATTCCTTTAATGATAACAGCATGACTGCACCACTTATACCTCCCAGTGCTCATAAATATGGCGAGACAGACATGCCGGTTACAGGTTTGTGAACATTATGCAAATTATGACAAGCTTATGAGCATTTCAAACAAATTTTTTGGCATATAATTGAATCCATTGAACTTTTTTATCACATATATATTTATATATTATCTTTGGATACCCCGAGAAGATCAACCTCAAGATCGGGAATAGCAAATTTCCTTGGTAGAGACAAGAGCCTCTGTAACGGCCCAACCCATCGCTAGCAGATATTGTCCACTTTGAGTTATCTCTTTCGGGATTCCCCTCAAAGTTTTTAAAACGCGTCTACTAGGGAGAGGTTCCACACCCTTTTATAAAGAATGTTTCGTTCTCCTTCCTAACTTATGTGGGATCTCACAATCCACGCTCTTTCAGGGCCAGCGTCCTCCCTGACACTCATTCCTTTCTCAAAACGATGTGGGACCCCCCAATCCACCCCCTTCAAGGCCTAGCGTCCTTGTTGGCACACTGCCTCATGTCCACCCCCTTCGGGGTTCAGACTTCTCGCTGGCACATTGTCCGATGTATTGTGAGATCCCACGTCGGTTGGAGGAGGAGAATGAAACATTCTTTATAAGGGTGTTGAAACTTCTCCCTAGTAGACACGTTTTAAAAACATTTAGGGTAAGCACGAAACAGAAATCCCAAAGAGGACAATATCTGCTAGTGGTGGGCTTGGGCCGTTACAACTTCTAATGAGTTGAGAATAAATCTTTACGAGGGAGAAATAGCATTACTTACCTGCAGGATGCAGCTATATGTATGCATATATCTATATCTATATATACTTTTGCTCGTGTCAAATTTCATGGCTCGAATGATGTTAGGTTACCTCATGCGGTTTATCATCGCGGCCAATCTTATCGGACTCCCCGCCATATCTGTCCCAGTGAGTAGCTTCGATTCTCGAACGCTTTGCGATAATCTATGAATTCAGTTTCGTTTCCTCCGTTTGCCAATGTTCGTTCTCTTTTCTGACTTGTTCGTCTTTCAGATCGGTTATGATAAACAAGGCCTCCCCATAGGCTTGCAACTGATTGGTCGTCCATGGGGTGAAGCTACAATATTACGTTTGGCTTCTGCAATAGAGGTACTGATACTGGCTTAGAATACATCTTTTATGCCCAGTTTTGTAATGTTCCTATTTCTCGTTTCTCGTTTCTCGTTTTCGTGTTTCTTGTTTCTTCTTAAGAAATAAAACCAGAAACGGAAACACTACTAAACGATCAGGAGTCACGGTTTCTATTACCTCTTTTTGTCAACTGACGAACTTCTTCTGATTTTCCCAGGAATTATGCGGAAATCCGAAGAGGCCGATGTCGTTTTATGATGTTCTAAAATGTTAAAGACTAAAGGAATGATGTTCAGTTCCGTGGTTCCGACCTCTATATTCGATCAAGAAAGAAGAAATGAAACGTAGCAACAAAAGATAATGAAATTATTAGTGATCCTTTCATCCCAAATGATTGAAATCGATGAGAATTCGATCTAACAACTCGATCTAAAATATTAAAGAATTTGTTATGGAACTCTTGGAATTTGATTTAACGAACTCGTTGAAGAACAAGGTGTTTATTATCCAATAACTCAAAAAATGATTAAGAATCAACCTAAGGGAAAGTTTAGACACAAATTTCATTGACGATCAAGATCTGGAATAAAGAAAATGCACTTCTAAGCTCGTGACTAGAATCACTATAGAAGATAGCTTGATCAAGACTATTTGAATGACTCTAGCATCCAAATCTAAAGCTCGTGATTAGAATCACTATAGAAGATAGCTTGATCAAGACTACTTTAATGACTCTAGCATCCAAATCTAAAGCTCGTGATTAGAATCACTCTAGAAGATAGCTTGATCAAGACTACTTTAATGACTCTAGCATCCAAATCTAAAGCTCGTGATTAGAATCACTCTAGAAGATAGCTTGATCAAGACTACTTTAATGACTCTAGCATCCAAATCTAAAGCTCGTGATTAGAATCACTCTAGAAGATAGCTTGATCAAGACTACTTTAATGACTCTAGCATCCAAATCTAAAGCTCGTGATTAGAATCACTCTAGAAGATAGCTTGATCAAGACTACTTTAATGACTCTAGCATCCAAATCTAAAGCTTGTGATTAGAATCACTCTAGAAGATAGCTTGATCAAAACTATTTAAATGACTCTAGCATCCAAATCTAAAGCTCGTGATTAGACTAGAAGATAGCCTGATCAAGATTACATCCAAATCTAAAGCTCGTGATTAGACTAGAAGATAGCCTGATCAAGATTACTTGAATGACTACGCTTGATCAAGACCATCCAAATTTAAACAAACAGACACTATGTAACTTTAATTTTAATATAAAAAATCCTTTAATTTTAATATCCAAAAATTAGTATTTTTTTTCTTTTCTTTTTGTTAAAATTACAATATTCAATAGCTAAATGTAATGAAATCGAAAATTATTTAGTAAAAATTGACAGCACCAAAAAAATTTTGAAATATTTTTCTTGAAATTAAATGGATACATATTTTTTAAGACCCTTTCTAAAACAAAAAAGGAAATGAGAAAAAAACTAAACAATGACGGCTCTTTGTTACTGCCTCTCCTAAAATTTATAACTCGCCGGAGCAACCACTCTTTCAGTTGTTTTCTACAATTCGCCGCCATAAACGATGTTCTGCGATGCATCGTAAGCTCATCCGACCCCTCTTCCCATGGCTGATTCTTCTCCCCCTCTTGATCCTCCTTCTCTACTCCCTAACCGCGTCTCTTCGCGCACCCATTTCGCCATCTCCACGACCCAAAAAGATTTCTGCATCACTCACATGCGATCTCTTCAAGGGCCAGTGGAATCGAGACCCTAATCGCAGACCCATTTATGATGAGACTTGCCCATTTCATAGAAACGCCTGGAATTGCTTGAGGAACCAGAGGGATAATATGGGTTCAATCAATTCGTGGAAATGGGTGCCCCAAACCTGCGATTTGCCGCAGATTGATCCGTTTAGATTTCTGGATCTGATGAGAAACAGGAATATAGGGTTTGTTGGTGACTCTTTGAATGAGAATTTCGTGACTTCCTTTTTGTGTAGTCTTAGAGTGGCTGATTTGGGTGCAAAGAAGTGGAAGAGGAAAGGGGCTTGGAAGGGTGCTTATTTTCCGAACTTCAATGTCACTGTTGCTTATCACCGTGCTGTGTTGCTCGCCAAATACAAGTATGATTGGTTGCTTTTTTTTTTTTTTTTTTTTTTTTATGATCTTGCTTGCTAAACGATTAGTATCTGTTGGTAGTTAAAATGTTTAGAATTCTTTGTGGTGTAAGCTAGCTAAACGAGTAGAACTTCATAAGAATAAGTATAACGTGAGATCCCATATTGGTTGGAGAGGAGAACGGAGAACGGAGAACGAAGCATTCTTTGTAAGGGTGTAGAAACCTCTCCCTAGCATACGTTTTAAAAACTTTGAGAGGAAGCCCGGAAGGGAAATAAAGAGGGCAATATTTGCTAGACACCGGGCGATGTGCTAGCGAGGAGGGTGAGCCTCAAAGGAGGTGAACACGAGGCAGTGTGCCAACAAGGACGCTGGGTCTTGAAGGGGGGTGGATTGGAGGTTCCATATCGATTAGAGAAGGCAACGAGTACCAACGAGGACGCTGGGTCTCGAAGAGGGTAGGATTGTGAGATCCCACATCGGTTTGGGGATAGCGAAATATTCGTTATAAGGGTGTGGAAATCTCTCCCTAACATATGTGTTTTAAAAACCTTGATGGCAAGCCTGAACGAGGACAATATCTGCTAGCAGTGAGCTTGGGCCGTTATAGTTGGTATCAGAGCCAGACCACTGGGCGATGCGCCAGCTAGGAAGCTGAGCCCCGAAGAGGGGTGGACATGAGGCGGTGCGCCAGCAAGTACGCAGGGTCCCAAATGGGTGGATTGGGGGTTCCATATCGATTAGAGAAGGGAACGAGTGCCAGCGAGGACACTGGATCCCGAAGAGGGGTGGATTGTGAGATCCCACATCGGTTGGGGAGGAGAATGAAACATTCTTTATAAGAGTGTGGAAACCTCTCCCTAACAGACGGATTTTAAAAAACCTTGAGGGGAAGCCCAAAGAAGACAATATCTGCTAGCGGTCGACTTGATTTTGTGGTTGCATTTTTAGTTAAAGAGGAAATGATATCTTATCCTCTTCATAATAACTCACACAACGTGTTTGTTTCTATTGATCAAGTTCTTGTGTTTCTGATAAAGAAAGTTGTTGCATGGAAACCTGGCAGGGATATACTCTAACTTCAATATCTTGTCACATTTACCACTCAGTCAGTGAAGTTTATTTTTGAGCTGTCTAAAACATGTTCGTGTTTCAGGACATGTTCTGCCTTCTTTAGCAGATTACTTACGAAACTTGGATGTGGGTATAGTAATGTATCATTTGTTGAAAGACAAAAAAAAGTTTCAACATTGAACAAAATAAATATTGTCTGTCTGTGGAACCAAAACCTGACAACTATGTTTGGTTTGTTTTATCTCCTTCCTATGAATAGTTAGATTTATTCTTATGTTCTTGTTACTGAATGAACAAAGGTGGCAGCCAAAGTATTCTGCATCTGGTGACCAAAGTCAATCAGAAGGAGTATACCGTGTGGATGTCGATATTCCTGCAGATGATTGGGCGAACATCACGAACTTCTACGACGTTCTCGTGTTCAATACTGGCCATTGGTAATTTCTTTTTCCCTATTGAGTAATATGACAGTTAATCAACAGAATTCTTCCAATGTCCTCAATGTTTTGGTTTTTTCTGTTAGATACTAAGTAGTCTACATGAGTGAGTGATTATGTTGGAAGGTCGAGTAAGTTGACGGTTGTCGGGGAGGGTTAATCCAATCGGATCTGATCGTAAAGACCAAAAGAATTGTAATTTGGTGATAATAATAACGGGGTTGGTTTATACTGGGATGAAGTATATACCCATGGTCTTCAAAGTGGATAAAATGAAAATATTTAATCATTAGAGCTTACCAGCGAGCGTACAGTTGTTCTGTGAGATCTCACATTGGTTGGAGAGGGGAATAAAATATTCTTTATAAGGATGTAGAAACTTCTCTCTAGTAGACGCGTTTTAAAATTGTGAGGCTAACGGCAATACGTAACGGGCTAAAGCAGATAATGTATGCTAATAGTGGGCTTGAGTTGTAACAAATAGTATTAGAGTCAGACACCAGGCAGTGTGCCAGCGAGAACGTTGGGTCTCCAAGGGGGTGGATTGTGAGATTCCACATTGGTTGGAGAGGGGAACGAAGCATTCCTTATAAGGGTGTGGAAACTTCTCCCTCGTAGACGCATTTTAAAACCTTGAGGGGAAGTTCGGAAGGAAAAGCCCAAAGAAGATAATATCTGCTAGTGGTGGGCTTGGGCTGTTACAAATGGTATTAGAACCAGACACTGGGTGTTGTGCCAGTGAGGACGTTGGGCCTCCAAAAGGAGGTGGATTGTGAGATTACACATCAGTTGAAGAGGAGAACAGAACACTCCTTATAAGGATGTGGAAACTTCTCCCTCATAGATGCGTTTTAAAACCTTGAAGGGAAGCTCGAAAGGGAAAGTCCAAAGAGGACAATATCTACTAGCGGTGGGCTCGGATTGTTACATATGGTATCAGAGCCCGACATCGAGCGGTGTGCTAGTGAGGATGCTTGGTCACTAAAGGGGGTGGATTGTGAGATCCCACATCAGTTGAAGATGAGAACGGAGCATTCATTTTAAGGATGTGGAAACCTCTCTCTCGTAGACGTATTTTAAAACCTTGAGGGGAAGCTCGAAGAGAAAAGTTCAAAGAGGACAATATCTGCCAGCAGTGGATTTGAGCTGTTACAATGTTCTTCCTCTTTTGTAGTTCATCCTTGGCAAACTTAAACCGCGTTAGAATACTAATCTAGTTCGAGTGAGCACCATGTAAACGATATAAATTGCTTTCATCTCTTTAACTACCAGTTTTATATCTCACGTCGTATAATTCTTATTTATCAGGTGGGGTTACGATAAATTTCCAAAAGAGACGCCTCTAGTTTTTTATCGTGCTGGTCGACCGATACTTCCAGCTCTCGAAATGCTGGATGGACTGAAACTTGTTCTTAAACATATGGTCTCCCACATACAAAAAGAAATTCCCAGGAAGACAATTAAGTTTTGGCGTTTACAATCCCCTAGACATTTCTATGGTGGTGAATGGAATCAAAATGGCAGCTGCTTGTTCAATGAACCCCTTCAAGAATCTCAGGTTAGCAACCCTTAGCAACCCATTGAAAATTTAGCCTATCTTTTAACTTTCCTCTTCCACAAGGTGATTGAGTTATAATGCCTGGACAGCTAGACATTTGGTTTGATCCAAGCAACAATGGGGTGAATAGAGAAGCAAGAACAATAAATCGTCTCATCAACGAGGCAGTTCGTGACACGGGTATAGAGATTCTTGATCTCACTCACATGAGCGAGTTCAGAGCCGATGC